ACACACACACACACACACACACACACACACACACACACACACACACACTCATTCATTCTATCACCTGCCTACATCGACTGAGCAGTTGCTTCATGTCAAATGCTCTCCTCTGGGCTTCAAAACCGATGAGGCATTTTAACTCCCAGTAACCTTTGGGGAAGGATACCGTTATCTGTCTTGTTTACCAATGAAGAAACCAATGCTCTGAGAGGACACCTGACTTGCCCAGGGTCCCACTTAAGAAAAAGGAGTTGTTTTGTGAAGCATGTGGCTAAGGTCTGCCTGTCTCCCATGCTTCCGTCCGCAGGGCACCATTTCCCACACCTTGCCCGGACTCAAACACAGACAGGAAGCAGTTCTTCATTGTGATCTGTGACCGGTCCACTCCTGACAGTATGTCAGGGAGGCTCCTGCTGAGGCCGGGGACTGCCCTACAGGCTGCAAGTCTGACAGCTACAGAAGAGTAGGCCTCCCTGGAGTACGGGCCATGCGTTTGGAGAGACCCAGGCTTGCTCTGCCAATTTGCTGTGTGGCTCTAGACAAGTCACTCCCCCTCTCTGGGCATCAGTCTCCTCATTGGTTACAGGGGACCAAGGGTCTATCTTGCTTGCATACCAGGAATGTGTTTTCACGTGAACAAGGACCTTTTCTCCAAGGGGCTCAGACACCCCATGCTTCCACTCATTCATACCACTGAAACTAAGTTTTGCATCTGAGTGCATTTGGGCACATTCGTTAGCCTCCCTTCTCAGCAGGCTTGCATGTGTTACTCTGGTACCTCATGCACATACCCGTGCACCATGTGCACAGACCTTTGTGCTTCTGGATGGTTTCCTCGATACCTCAGCTGGGTCCTGGTGGCAGGTCCCCAGTGCAGACCCCAGGCTTCTGCAGACTCAGCTCTTGGTACTGCCTCCTGGAAGCCCCAGGGCATTGCAAGCCAGACCGGAAGGGGGAGGCATGGAGCACAGGGAGGTGGTGACATCAACCTGGCCGGACAGTCAGGACTCTCCCACTTCCCCTCCAGGTAGACACCTGCTGGACAGCCTCCAGCCTGCAGAAGCCAGCCCTCCTGACACTGCCACATCTGCAGGTGAACTTCTTGGGGTGCGGTCTAAAAACAGACGCAGCCCCCCTGCCCCCGCACCGCTTTACCGGGGAGGGAGTTCTGGCTTGCCTGGCTTGCTACCTCCACTGTCTTCCTTGTTGGCACCGAGACCATCCGCAGGGTACCCTGTCCGCCGCCATAGCCCTCACTGTCCTATTGGTTAGCACAAGGACTCAATGATCAAAGCATCTAAAAGGCCAGACGTTCCCACTGGGCAGCCCATATCTGCCAGATCCACAGCAGGCAGCAGGCTTTCTCATGAGCTTCCTTCTGCTTCCCTGATGGTCACCCTGCCGTTTGAGCCCCCAGGGCTTGGATTGAACTCCATTCTGTGGGAAGGGATCCCCTACCTCTTCAGGAAGGAGGAACCTGATTTAGCTTCAGAAGACCCAGGTCTAGGATGGGCCCTTCTGGGAGGACCAACCCAGCCTGGCTTCCCTAAAGCTCCTGAAGGAGAGAGAAGAGTGGTGGAAGACCGTCCCAGAGGAACAGGCCAGCCTGATAGCCCCCATCTGGGCACCCAAAAGCAACAGCTCTGCCCCCCATATTTAAGGTGTGATGTAGAATTTCATGTGTGTGTGTGTGGGGGGGGGCGGAGATGGCTCTGCAGAAAAAAGAAAAGATTGAAAAGCACAGCTTAGCGCGCTGCTGCCACGCAGTTGCAGTCAAGGGCTGCTTAAGGTCTGCCCTGTGTCTGGTGCTGGTCAACCACAAACCTACAAACCTTTGGGCTCTCCACCAGCATGGAGAGCTCCCCCCCCCCCCCCCCCCCCCCCCGCTCCCCAGCTCTGACTCACATACAGACCTGCCCTTATATGGTGTGCCTAGCTCCTCATGGTCAAAGCCTGCTCACCCCTGATCCAGCCTCTGGGTCCCCAGAGGCTGCTGTGTGCTGTATTGTTAGACGGTAGGAACTGAGCAGGGCACAAAGGCCTTCGCCCTCAGGCTCGCTGCCTTGTTCTTCAGGAGGACCTTGGAGAGAGCAGGATCCTCTGGGGGTTTAACCTCCACCACTCCCAAGGGTCTCCCTCCATGCTCAACCCTGGTCAGACATGGGGATGTTGGCAAGCTCTGTTAGTTCTGATCATTTTTCAAAAGCCTCCTCACTTGGGTCTGACGTATTAACAATCATACAATGACTTGGTCCTTGCCCTCCAAGGCTCAGAGTTCCAGATGCCCTAGAGGGGGAAGGGCCCTACTAGAGATCTCTGTGCAGACCTCTTGGGTTCAAAACCATTCCGCAGCATAACAGCAGGAGTCTCTGGTACCAATACTCCAAGCTTCAGGGGCTCCTGGCCCACTCTGCGGGAGATCTGGGGCTCCAAACCAAAGGGAAAAGATGCTTCTTGGCCGGATAGTAAATCAGAGCCTCGGTGTCTAAGAACTGGGTTTGAAAACTAGCTGGGGTTCTGGACAGGAGAAGACATGGCAGTGTCATTCAGAAGACAAGAGTAGAAACTAGAGAACATGAATTCTCAGAGCAGGCCAGCCTGGTGCACCTTGGGGCTGACTAGAGGTAGCCTCGGGTAGAGTTCCTGCAAAGCTGCCTGGGGCTGGAGCCGACTGACCCTTCTCTCAGTCTCCCTCTTGCTCCTGGGAAAGCATGTGGGAGGCCTTCTGAGGAGCTGGATCGCTGACTTCATCTCCTAGCTACTTGCAGGATTTCCGCGGCTTGTTCTGGTGGGTTGTTTCTTGTCTTCTGAAGCAGGTTCTCACTGTCTAGGCCAGCCTCAAATTCACCATCCTCCTGCCTCCACCTTCCTAGTGCTTGGATTTCAGGAATGCCCTGTTGCAAGCGTCATGACAGACCTTGAGTTAGAGATTGGCTAACTTTGTTTTGTTTTTGAGGTAAGAACTCATGATGTAAGCCGGGTTGGCCTTGAACCCCTGGCCTCTTGCCTGTAGCTCCCAAGTGCTGGAATTGCAGGGTGCATTTTTTCCCCTCAGTTTTTATAGCCTCCTTGTCCTCCAGTTTGTCATCTGTGAAGTGAAAGCAAGTCTCCTCCCAGCTTTAACCATGTTATCCCCAGTCGTCCCCAGCCACACACTTCCCCCAGTGTTCCTCCACCACTCCCAGGACCTCCCTCCATTCTGGAAGGCACACACATGATAACTCACTTCTTCGAGAACTCATGTACCCATCAGACATGCCTCCAGAGTGCCGTGTGAGGCACGCCAATGCCATTACTTTTTAAATTCCAACTTACATTTTTGTGGTTGTTTCTGTGTGTGTGTGTGTGTGTTGGTGCATACGTAAAAGTCAAAGGACAACCTTCATGAGTCCGTTCTCCCCCTACACCATGTAGGTCCTGGGACTTGAATTGGGCCCTCGAGTTTCGTGGTGCTGTGGTTTGAATGAGAATGTCCCCCCTAGGCTCTAACATTTTAACACGTGTTTCCCAGTTGGTGGAGCTGTTTGGGGAGGTCTAGAAAAGGCGGTCTTTCTGGAGGAAGTATGCCACCCACTGGGGGTGGGCTTTGAGATTTCAAAGTCTTGCACCGTTCCCAGTTTGCTCTCTGCTTGCGGTTTAAGATGTGAGCTCTCAGCTGCTACTCCAGCTGCCGTGAATGCCTGCTGCTGCACCTCCCCACTGGGAGTGTGGACTCTCATCCCTCTGGAACCATAAACTCAAATAAACCCTTCCTTCACAGTCATGGTGTTTTATCACAGCAACAGAAAAGTAACCAAGACAGATGACAGTCCCCTTTATCTGGTCAGACATCTTGCTATCCCTTAGAGTCCAACTTGAACATCTTAGGCAAGGTTTGGAGCACAGGTTATTCATCCAGGCACCCAAATCCTGGTGATAAACTGGGAGTCAAACCCCTAATTCCAGATGGGGTACAGCTTTCTTCTCCCCCATCACATTCATTCATTTGTTCATGCGATGCTACACTGAGCCCTTAGCGTACGCCTGGGTCCTGAGAGTCTCATACTATCCCCTTGAAGAGGACACCATGCACTCTGCTCACAGGACTCTTTGGATATGCAGATTAAAACCTTGGGCATAATCCCACTCTTGCCATAGTGACTCCTGGAACTTTCATTAATCCCTTCTTGCCTTCCTAGGCTGAAGTCCAAGTGAAATACCTTTATCCCAAGACCCAACGTGTGGGCTGAGCTGTCAAGTCCCAGCTCTGCTCTCTGCAGATGCAAGTGTCCCAGGCAGGCAGCAGGGTCTGTTTGTAGGCAGACATGATGGCATGGCACTTTGTTCTCACTGCCTGGATCCTGAATTACAAAGGGTTGGGATCTTTATAGTCAGCACAAATATTGTAAGTTGTAGAGGGTCCTTCCTGGCCAGCATCCCCCTCCCCCCTTCTTAAGGGCTGTGGGCATCTCTCCCCCCCCCCTCTGTCTCCAGCAGTGTACAGAGCCTGATGTGGGGGGCATCGTCAGTGGCCGGTGAATGTGTGAGGCCAGTGGACAGATTGCAAGGACTCTCAGCCATCTCTGCTTCACAGTCTCGGGGCGGTGTGTAGAGATGCTAGTCCCTGGCTTTGTGTCCCTGTGACAATTTGATTTTGCTCCTGGAGAATGTCATTGGTTTTCCAGCAGTGCAGAGGACGAAGAACAAATGGCTTTGAGTTTATTGCTTTCTGCATCAGTGGCAGGAGGCTGCCTGTGGGGCTGGCTGTCAAAACTGAGAATTTAGACCCAGCTTCCAAGAAGGAAGGCCTTGAACCGGTTCTTGTAACATCCAACTACAGAGGGCTGTGGGAAGCTTTAAATTAAATCCCGTGTGCAGGCCACCTCACAGCACTTGGGATGTGGGAGGGGGGCTTGGGAAGAATGCTTGGAGGGTGTGTTTAGGGCTCCACTTAAACGGTTTTGCAGAAAACTCTCTCTCTTCCCAATAGAGTTCAGCTCAGCGCTTGGCATTTTAAGACAGGATATTTTGTGGAAGTGATCAGAAGGGGCTGAGGAGATGGCTCTGTGGGTAAGAGCACTTGTTGCTGCTCTTGAGAGGACCTGGGTTGGGTTCCAGTACCCACATGGGGCAGATCACAACCATCTGTAACTCCAGTTCTAGGGGATCCTACACCTTCTTCTGGCCTCCACAGGCACTCCACAAATGTGGTCCACATACATACATACACTCATGCATACCCACAGACACATATAAATGAAGGCATCTCTTTTAAAAAGTCATTAACAGGATAATGCATGTTATTTAAGAATTCCAAAGAGCAGCCAGGCATGGTGGCACACATCTTTAATCCCAACACACAGAAATCTGAGCCAGGAGTATCTCTGTGAGTTCGAGGCCAGCCTAGACTACATAGGCCAGCCAGAGCTCCATAATAGAGAGACCTTGTCTCAAAAAAGACAAAAAATCCAAAGAGGGCTGGAGTGACAGCTGAGTTGGGGACATGCTCACTGTGTAAGCCTGAGGACCTGAATTTGGCTCCCAGACCTCACATAAAACAGCTGGGCACAGTGACATGTTTATAATCCCAGCGCTTGCAGAAGCCGAGACAGGAGGATGCCTGGGGCCTGTGGCCAGCCAGCATAGCCCACTTAGCAACTTCCAGGCCAGTGAGAGACCCTGTGTCCAATAAAGGCAGACTGTGCCTGAGGAATGGCATCTGGGGCTGACCTTTGGTCTCCGTGTATGCACATATGTGCCTGCATGCTGGCACACACACACACACACACTTAATAAAATAAAACAAATTCAAACAATTCAGAGGGTTTAACTTAAAAACAAGTACCCTTGTATCACCCCTAGGCTCTTCCATTCCCACCTCCCAGCCGTGTTCTCTTTCAACACGGAGCTCCCCCAGACTACAACATGTCTCCGTGGCTTTTCTTGTTAAGGACGGGAACAGGAAGGAGCAGAGTCAAGAGTGGACAGTCAGTCAATGGCTGCCATGGGGACATGCTGTCCAGGCCATAAGCCTTGAGAGAGGTCAGCGCAGAGTGGTCCCGTGGGAGTGGAGCAGCCCAGCTTCCCCACACCTTCAGGCTCTGACTCCAGGTC